AAAGGATCACACTCAAGCAACCCCCTTCCCACCAAAGGCTGAACCTCTGACTGGTGAGAAGACCCGTTAAGTTCACAACATCCACCCGCCCTGGAAGCCATAGCTTTATCCAGCTTCACAGGATACGCTTTTTCTTCCAGCGTCACAGGAACTCAGCTTCATCCAGCTTCACAGGATACGCTTTTTCTTCCAGCGTCACAGGAACTCAGCTTCATCCAGCTTCACAGGATACGCGTCTTCTTCCAGCGTCACAGGAGCGTCAGCTACATCCAGCTTCACAGGATACTCAGCTTCATCCAGCTTCACAAGATACTCAGCTTCATCCAGCTTCACAGTATACTCAGCTTCACAGGATTCTTTGTTTCCAAGACACACAATATGTCTATTTCATTAATAGAGGAAACAAGTCACACAAGAATCGATTTACACAATCGATGACTAGACACCCAAAACGAGCTGCAAGGGAAAATCCAACAGCTCATTAAGAATTAAGGCAAGGATTCTGCCGACAGACGCCACCGAGAGGGCTATTATTCCGGTAAGCTAAATCAGTTAAACGATCTCTGGCAGCAGTTTTGCGACCTAGATGAAGAAGTCCAGCAAGCGGCATTACCCACTGGAAGTGAGTACTCTTCACGAGTAGTAGCACTTAAGAAGCTGGTCGAAAAATATCAGAATATCTTTCTGGACAACATGCCGACTGGAAGCGGGCTTCCGAAGGCCCCGAGACGAACTTCGGCCAACATCAAGATCACAACAAGAGATCAAGTCAAAGAGAGAAATCAAGTCAAGAGATCAATTGACACGGTGATCCGACAGTTGCAGAGAAGATGCAACGAATTGGAGTCATCATTAACATTAGCCTCGAACGCTCCAACCGTCACCCCAGCTCAAAGGCACCTGAATCTCCATTGGGCGTTGCTGGGGCGTTGCACCTGGGGCCGCAGTCCTGGCAGAAGCAGAGCTAGCTCAATTCCACACATTATACGAGGAATACGAAATGAACCTGCTTCGAGAAAACGACTCGCCAATGAGCCTAAACTTGGCACTTGCGCCAATTAGCATTCCGAAGTTCACGGCGAGTTTCTAGCCTGGCCACGGTTCCGTGATCTCTTTGTGGAATTGGTACATAATAAGCCATATTCGACCAGTCAAAAACTACATATTCTACAGAGTTCGCTTCGTGGTGAAGCGAGAAACGTCTTGACAGATACAGCCTTCTCACAGGGTGGCTATGACGACACCTGGTTGCGTTTAAAGGCCAGGTACCAGAACGGAAAAATACAAGTATTCGCCGCCATTGCAAAAATTATTGACCATAAGCCTATAGACGGCTCCTCGCGCCAACTAAGGGCCTTACATGACACTATAAAGAACTCAATGAGTACTCTTAAAAACCTCGATATCAGCACAAAATCCTGGGATCCAATCCTGTGTTTTCTTATCAGAAGAAAACTAGACCTGCAGTTTCTAGCTGCTCTAGAAAATTCAGCGGATACACCAACGGAAATTCCAACGTTATGGAGTGTACTGACGTTTATTGAGCGGCGCGCTTGCATGCTGGAGACGATAAGCGCACAACCTACAGAACACTCCGCCATCATTCAGTTCACAACGAAGAGAGCTTTGTCACCTCGGACAACATAATCTTAGAGCATGTAGCCGTATCCAGCAAATGGACCCCAAAGCACGGCGCCAAGCCATTATTCAAGTAGGAGCATGCACAAATTGTTTGTCTACAGCTCATAAGGTTGAAAACTGTGAACCGACCACTTGTCGAGTCTGCCAGCAACGGCATCATTCACTGTTACACCAAGGACCGACTAGCAATCCAGTGGCCGGCGCAGTAACCATTGCAGGCTACGACAACCCTAGAGGATAAACTCTGCTCGCGACCGCCAAGGTCTCATTACAAGGGCCAAACGGGCAATTACAAACATGTCGCGCTGTAATAGATGGTGGATCACAGGTGAATCTTATCTCAAGGAGAATGGCAGATCTGCTATCTCTTAAGGAAAGGTCACCGATTGAAATATCGGGAATCGGAGGAAAAATATCAACAGCAATTAGATCAACACTAAAGCTCTCATCAGTTACATCAGGGTTTGAAATACTAATAGAGGTATTTATTATTCCCACAGTCATTACAGACCAACCGTCAGTACCGATTGATACCGATCTTAATATTCCCGGGGGACTGCCGTTAGCACATCCTGACTTTCGGCAACCTGGACCCGTTGACCTAACCTTAGGGGTTGAGTTGTATTCTCGTGTAATTACCGGTGAACTTCTTGAACTAGGACCTAATAAACCTTTGGCACAAGGCACAAGGCTTGGTTATGTAATCACAGGTTATCTCAATAAAGAAACCTCATCTGATACGGAAATCAACCCTATTCTAATAGAAGACAGAGATGATCTTGCAGGACCGAATGTTGCTTATGCGCCAAAGAAAGGATTCATTTAACGAACTTAGCATTGATGGAGCATAAAATAAGGGAACCTGAAGATATATGTAGCCAATCAAGAACCAGCGACACTGACTCGTCCGATTGCGGATCAACCATTTTACATAATAGTTAATTGCAGCATTTAATACTACAAAAGAAAAACCAATTGATACAGAACCGACTTCTCATCAACTTAAAACCAATAAGAAGCTTGACTGTTGTTCAAAATTTCTAAATTGAACCAAGAAATATCTAAGTGTTGTTGCAGAAAGTCCACATACCACAGACGTGCCAAATAATCAAGATTTACGAGGGCACAATTTCAGTCCCCACGGTAATGTAAATTTTATCGCAACGGGGAGTGTTAAGCAGCATCAAGAAGGTATGAGTGACCTGAATCACAAACATGAACCGCCGCAGTTGAAGGAAGGATCCACCTCGGTCATTGATTTGTTAGGTGATTCCTATACAATTCGGCCAAGAGCTGACCGACATCACGACTTAATTGAGGGTACCCCATCGCAGTAACCATCGTTACCATTGCCGCGACGCGATCGTCCTGCCATCAAAGCGTCCCCGTGCCAGCGACAAGTGCTCATTACCCCCTTGTCCCGCGGTGTGACCCGGAAGTGTCTGCTTCGGTTAGGCACAAACAGGATCATATAACCGAGCGATTGAGGATAGGACGATGCGCCTAGTTGAACTTGAGCTTGACTGGAGCCCATCAAATGCAAATAGCAAGCGATCAGTAGCAAGATCCTAAGCGAGGCCAATAGTTTTCGTAAAGTTGCTGCCGTTATCAAACCTCAGAAAGGACTCGCGATCCTCTTCCGGCACATCAGACTTCAAGCGGAATTGATTCTTAGCGAGGATCCTTGATGTTTGCTTCATTATATTGATAGCTTCAGCAGAGAACCATCTCCTGAAATTAAATCGTCCACGTAAAAAGCGCGACGCAGAATTTTAACACTCTTTGGAAACATCGGCTGCTCATCCTCAGCCAATTGACGCATCGCTCGCACTGACAAAAATGATTCCGGCTTTATTCTATAAGTTACAGTATCAAGCTTAAAAAACTGCAACTCATTCTTGGTCGAATCCCGCCAAAGGATACACTGCGAGTAGCTGTCCTCAGGGTCAACTCTGACACATCGGTACATTTTGCAGATATCTCCTGTAATGACCGATGGTAACGGAACCTTAAAAGGATGTGCAGCAACTTTGGCTGGAGAACCGGTAGCACCAGATCCATCAAAAACAACCCTGGAGGACAGTTCAACAACTAAGCTCAGGGTTGTTTCAAAACACAATGGTGCGTAAGGAAGTACTGGGATGCTCGCATTAGCCGGAACTAGAGACATATGCCCCAACGCCAAATACTCCTTTATAAACGCAGCATACTGGTTCTTCAATTGAGAGTGACGACTGAGCTTCTTTTCGAGGGAGAGAAATCGTCGCACGGCTAGCTGTGATGCCTCCACCCACAGCTGCGGCAATTATTAACGACGCAGTCCCGCAGGCTATGGCCCGTTCGGAGACATTTTCGACAAAGGCCGAGTCGCCTAGCCTCGCCAAAGCGGCTCTCAGGGGCAACAGTAGAAATCTTGGACACGCACCTTGGCGCACCTGGCCATGGCCACATCCTCAGCCTCGAGAGTCCTGCATCGCTGCTCCAAGAATTTCGCCATCGAATCCCACGTAGGAACAAGGTCCAAATTGGAGGCAGTCTGGCCTTCCTCCCACTTCGCCTGGGTTATTGGGTCTTTGAAGGAGCACCTGGACGATGACGCGGCCGGTGATTTGTTGCGTCGTTCCCCGTTACATAGCGACTAACTAACCTTGACGCACGTGGAGCATGGCGTCCTCCACCTTTGAAATTGACTGAAAGGTTCCTTGGATCCTCTTCAAATCCTGGGGGAGAGCGTTGGCCTTGCATTTTGAAATATCTACCAAAGGTTAAGTGGGTGCACCTGTGTCTGCGATGCTGGAACCCATCGCCACCGATTACGACCGATTTAATAAACCCGCTGTACTTAATTCTGGGACTAGGCTGTAGCCAAATTAGAATTATTAATTATTAAAAAACATAATGTAATAAAATTTTTAATTTGTTCGCGGCGAACACAATCTGTCCCACTGTGCACACAAGAACCGTAAGCCGCATTAACGGACGTATGTTTATATAACGGTTTGTGCGCTGGCGAATGCACTCGAAAACGGAATGTATGTACTATGTAAGTAGTATATGCACTAGATAACGGGCCGGATAACAATTGACGGCCGGAATGCAATTTATAAGTGTATTAGGCTATGTATATTTATTTAAAAATCGGTACACATGTATATTTAAACGGGTTGTATTTTATTTTCGTGAAATTGGTAATATTATTAATTGTATAACGTCGGGGTTACCAATGTTCAGTCATTGAGATTTTTCAAGGACTATCCTTAATCCGCTCCAAATAATAAAGCCGATGGTAATAATTAAAACATTATAATAATCTTTATTGTTGTATTCCAATTAAAGGGAGACGACAGATCGGGTTGAGATTTAATGTCCAACTGACTTTATTCGGCTCTGTATAGCTGTGGTATTTTTGGTATATTAGAGTGTACATAATAACAGAGAATATCGATAAAGTAAACGGCAAATGGCCAAGATTTCGTGATTATGATACATATCGTTTTCGGATTAAGTGAGAGCTACAGGGGCCAGTGTCAGGCTTTCTTTTCACCTCGTACTCCGGAGTTTAATTTACCGCCCGAATTTTGGCGTCGAGGTTGGTCTTTTCCGTTTTGGCAGCCTAACCGATCAGAGGTAAAAGTTTTTCTACAGGAGTCCAACCCTCAAAGTTTAGCGCAACTGACTAGTATCAGTCGGTTCTACGTATTGAGCCATCGGAAAATAACGAAATATAATCAGGAATTAACTGCGGCTTAGGGTGAGTTGTAGCAGAGAACGCAATTATAACGTTAAGCTTATTCGGCAGCTACTGGCGCGTCTACAAAGGGGCATGCGTGGCCACCGTTTGTTCCAGCGAGGTCTGTGGAAGTCATCCCCTAACCGAAGTCCGTCAAGCTGCTGGAAAAACTCGGTCGAGAAGCAGAAGAAAAACTCAGCTCAGGGCCACGTCGACAGTGTTTGCTTTTGGGAGATCCGTTCTTCGATTGAGCGAGGGCGAGAGGTCCGTCGTGGAACCTTGGCGGAGTTTTGTGATGGAGCCGTACATTTCCCGTAAAAATGCCTGAAAATTAAGCTAAGCTTTAAGAGGGAAGAAAGGGGGAATCGGAAAAGTTAAGCTCTCTATCATTTTTGGTGACCCCGCCCGTTTAAACGCGTTCAGAGAAATTTTGTGACCGGCTACATTCGGGCTAACCTTCAGGACGAAGGAGAAAATTGTTAAGGACCTGTGAAAAGGAGATTATTAGTAACACGAGTTAGTTTAAGTGGAATTTTTAAGATGAAAAAAACCAGTTCATGGCGAAGCAGTTTATCAATCCAGTTTTTATTAGAGTGTGCCATTCTGTAATGCAATTTTAAATGGATTTTAGTTTTTTTTGTAGTTTTTCACAGTTTCTGTGAATTACCTACAAATTTCCCGCAGTTAGCCGCAAGCGTCTCGGCGAAAGCGCTTTCATCGATGGATGTTCCTGCAAGCGGTAAGTGCCTTAATTTTTGCTTTTAAATAATAAGAAAAAAAAAATCAAGGCGGTATAAAGAAAATAAAAAAGAAAAAATAAGTCACACCGCACGCAAATGCCCTGCGATCCGGCAGATCGAGACGTCAAGCTCTCTCCTTGTGACTATACTAGATCCGTCGGAAAGTATGTAACAGGCAAAAGGAAGCGTTTCCGACCCCATAAAGTATATATATTATTGATCAGGATCACTAGCCGAGTCGATCTAGCCATGTCCGTCTGTCCGTCTGTCCTTATGACCGCTGAGATCTCGGAAACTATAAGAGCTACAATACTGGGATTAGGCATGCAGATTGCTGAGCTTCCTGCGCAGAGCCCGTTTGTTTCAGCAATGTGCCAATGTGCCACGCCCACAAACCACCCAAAACTGTGGCTCCTACAGTTTTGATGCTAGAATAAAAATTTTAACTGCAATGTATTGTTATCTTCGATACCTATCGATTGACGCAAAAAAAGTTTGCCACGCCCACTTTAATAGCCAGATATCGCGGAATTTATCAAAGACAGAGAATTGGGACTTCAGAAAGCAGCGAAAGTCTTTCACGCGAATATGCCACACCCGGACCAGTAACGCCCACAATTTTCATGCTAGAAAAAAATTTTAACTGAAATGTATTAGCCTGTGGCGCCCACAATTTTCATGCTAGAAAAAATGTTAATTGAAATGTATTAGTCTTGTCAATACCTATCGATTGATCTAACAAAAGTTTGCCACACCCACAAACTTCAAAAAGTCGTAAGTATGAACGCGGATATCTCGGAAACTATCAAAGATAGAGAATTGGGATTTCAGATTTACATTCCGTAGCCTTGTACGCAGCGAAAGTGTTTTACGCGAATATGGCACGCCCACAATGCCCACAAGCCGCACCTGTTGCGTCCACAGTATTCATGCCAGAAAAAAAAACTGAAATTTAACTGAAATGTATTAGTCTCGTCAATACCCATCGATTGATACAAAAAAGCTTGCACCGCCCACTCTAATGGCCACAAACCGCCCAAACCTATGGCGTCCACAATTTTCATGCTCATGTTAATTTAAATGTATTAGTCTCGTCAATACCTATCGATTGACTCAAAATAAAGTTTGACACGCCCACTCTAACGCCCATAACGTTTAAATCTGTATACCGCTCACATAACCATATATTGAAATCGCGGGTAGGTGGCGCATTTCAATCTCGCTTTGCTGCTTGCATATCTCCATTTCCCTTTTGTCCCTTTAGCTGAGTAACGGTTATCTGATGGTCGAGGTACTCGACTATAGCGTTCTTCCTTGTTAATTAATGTTTTATTTAGATCATTTATTTCGTATCCTTTGCTTCCTTTATTATTGAAACAACAAAGGAATAACTATACCCACGTTTTGTAATGATTTTAATTGTAATTTAAATCTTCATAATATGCACTTAATCGTACCCATATTTAAATTATATTATCCTGCATATTTAGTTGTAAGATATGCGTTTACAATTATTTACTTTCTTAGCTGGTAATAAGACCTTTATAAAAGTCTTATGCATTTGAGGGGGTCGTTCTGACAATAGGGGTGTATGGAAGAGAACGGCCAATGGCTGGGTGGGCATTAAGGGACTTCGGGAACATATAGAGAGAGGAATTTGAGACTCGGCCAGGACTTTATTTTCGATTTTTATGTGACTTTGCTCGTTTCCAAGTTTAGCTTGTCCAGCACGCGAAATTAGATTTCGATTACCATTAATAATAGGCACTTTATGGGGTCAAGCATTTTTATCCACTTCCACAGCCGACAATCAGCCAGACGAGCATACCCGCGTGCGCTTGATTTCCATGGTACCACATGCGCCTGAATTTTATTTCAATGTGCCAGTTCGTTACAACTGCAATTAATCTGCACTGCATTTAATACTTAATTGTTTTTGGCGACGAATGTTTTGTTGCTCTGCCAACGCACCGCAGCCGCAACAAAGACTTAATTATATAAATATATACGTATGATTTGCACTAAATATTGTTTATGCACAATTCAAGTCGGGGTCATCAATCTTGAGCTAGTAAGCTTCTTTATTAGCTGTTGTAAAATTAAAGTGCGAAATTCATAGTTGGTTTTATGTACTGGCTAACAAATGATAGCAAATGCATACTACTTTAGCCAGCCGTACGGTGCCCTTCACTTCCGAAAATAAAGTTTCACTTGTAAATCACCTTGTGAATAACGCGTGACATGTCAGCTAGCGCGCGTGAAGAACAAGTGACACAAGTGAAAATTAAAATAAAATTTGTTCGAAGTCAATCGTGATTTCATTTACTCATTTGTCGTTTGGCCTGTCACCTGCAGGTGACACGTCCCACTTAAAATAAATTGTGAAAATCCGAATTCCAAAGAGTTTTCACTTATGAAAGTATAGAATTTAAAATACATTTAATTTTAATTACTTTTTACTTCATTTTTATTAAATTGTGTTATTTAGTTCTTTTGTTGAAGGACAATTATTGTTAATAAGCCTAGTTTTGTTTCGACAATTTGTTATTTACATTGATCATCGCCTTCTTTAAACATTTGTCCGGGTCCTCCGAATTTACGTACTTTAAACTTAGATCAATGCACAACATCTTAAACTTAGATTGACCTTATTATTAATAACAAAAATTAAAAATATCACTTTTAATAACAAAACAAATGTGTTTCGCTACGCACAATTCAAATAGCCTGCTTTTTTTTTAATTACTCAAACATAATGCACCAAGTCCTCTCACGCCTTTACTTGATTTCTTTTGTTTTCTCTTCCCTGTTGGCGGGTGCCACTGCTCCGGCCTTGAGTAAAAAATACAATATACATTTTTTTTAAATGTTTATATTAAAATGTTTTAAATATTTAAATAAATTTTAACATACTTAATTTCCTTAACTTAACTAAGAAAAATATTGTAATAATAATGTATAATGCGCAAACATAACATTATAAGTAAATTGAATTAAATTAATTTTACTATGATCAAAAAATGTACTTATATAATACAATATTATTCGTTTTTTATACCCGTTACTCGTAGACCAAAAGGGTATATTAGATTCGTCGGAAAGTATGTAACAGACAGAAGGAGGCGTTACCGACCCCATAAGGGTAGTGATCAGGATCACTAGCCGAGTCGATCTAGCCATGTCCGTCTGTTCGTATGAACGCTGAGATCTTGGAAACTATAAGAGCTAAGATACTGAGATAATGCACACAGTTTTCTGAGATTCTTGCGCAGCACAAGTTTGTTTCAGCAGGGTGCCACACTCACTCTAACCCCCACAAGCCGCCCAAAACTGTGGCTCCTACAATTTTGATGCTAGAATAAAAATTTTAACTGAAATGTAATGTTTTCATCAATACCTATCGATTGACCCAAAAAAAATGTTGCCACGCTCACTTTAAAAAATTCGGTATAAGCTTCCGTTTAGCACCAACGCGTTGCAACGCCCGATTTTGTTCCAACTTTTCAAATCGACATTTTTTGGTTGTTTGTGATTACGGGAAAAATAGTCAAAGTTGGCGCAAAATATCGGTTGGAAAATATCAGTTTGGTTTTTTGCTGTTTCTCCCAAAATTATAACGAAAACCAAAAAATGTTTCAGACAAAAACAAAAGATATTTATAAATCAGATTTTTTGTTATAATCATTTTTTCTAAAACACAAAATGGCGTCAGATGGTTTAGATTAATCGATGACAGCATTTTAGGTGATGGACCTTTTTCGACTTTTTTAACGATATATCGTGTTTATGTTCCTTTTTCCCATTAAGCGAAATATACAAGTAAAATAAAATCAGGTACAAACATACATACCCTTCAGTTCCAAAAAAAAAGTTTCACTTATGAACCACCTTGTGAGTCCCGTGGCACATGTCCTCTTGCACAAATGAAGAACAAGTGACACTCCATATAGACAATTGTATGGAATGACCGCCTTTCCACAATCGAAAATTCAAATGAAAATTTTTCCAAGTCCCACGGGATTTCACTAGTTCCTTATACTCATTGGTCGGATGGCCTGTCGCGTGCCAATGACACCTCCCACGTGAAATCACTTGTGAAATTCATAAGATTTCCTATGAGTTTTCACTTATGAAAACACTTGCAAGTGACACGTCCCAAGTGAAATCACTTGTGAAATTGAGAATTTTTCCCATGAGTTTTCACTTATGAAAATATATAATTTAAGATACATACATGTTTAATTACATTTAAATTCATTTTAGTTAGATCATATTTTTCAGATTTTCCATTAAGGGACAATTATTGTTAGTATTTCTGATTTTTTGTTTTGTTAGTTTGTTTTTCACGTTTGTCACCGCCTTTCTTAAACATGTGTCCGGGTCCTCAGGGTCCTTGGCCAACGCTTCTGAAAAAATGTATGGGAATATGATTAAAAATGCGTTTAACTTATTTATTTGTATTTAGAGCTGTGTATAAGCCCTTTGCGGGATTTTTTTGACAGAAAACATTTTATTATCCACTTTCGGCTAACGGAACCCATTGAATACCTTCAAAATTTACGTACTTTAAACTAAGATAAATGCACAACATCTTAATCTTAATGTAGCACCTACCTGACTTTATTATTTTAACTTAAAGAAACGATTAAAGTAACTTTGCTGCGCACAAAAAAATGTTAATACTAAATTGTTTTAAATATTGAAGTAAATTTTAACGGACTAAATTTCTATAACTAAACTAAAAAATTATATTGTAACAAAAATGTATAACAAGTAAACTGTTAAGATGTGTCCCCTGCCGGCAGCTCGGGGTCAAATTATTAAGATGTTCCCTTAGTCGTGCAAAACACTTTGGAAATTTAGACAATATAATTTCACTATTTATTTGTGGTTTTCGAGTGGTTTATATATAACAAGCAATCAAAAAGAATAACTCAGCTCCGTTAGCGTCGCGATGCAGTTCAATGCTCAGACTGACTTTTTCCTTTCTCTTCAGCAGTACCGAAAGCTCCTTTGCCCAAATTCTCCGCAGGTATTGGGCGCCGTGGGGCCAGATCGTGAATCTGAACCTGCCGTACGCCAATGGTAGACCATAGCATTAAAAGTGCCCTGAGAGTCCTGAGCTATACCTAGAATCTGAGAGGAGACAGAAAAAGAAATTGTGTGCATAAGCGTGAGCGACTAGAGCTGCTTTGAGGGAGACTATTCTTGTATCGGCAAGCGTCAGATCTTCGCTACCGAACGCTTCAGCTGTCCTTGCTGACCCGGGTGAAGATCGATAATCCTTCTGAGCAGCCACTGCGATGTTGGGAATCTGTCGTCCTTGACGAGTACAAACTCGTCCAACCTTAAGTTTTCTGAACTTTGGGACCATTTTGGACGCTGCTGCAAAGAGCCAAGCCAATCCCTACTCCAGCCGTCCCAAAAATGGCGCAGCATTGATTGCCAAAGCAGAAACTGCTCCCTAAACTTGGAAGAGGCTGGTTGGTATTCTGTGGGCGCAAACATAGAGTCGCCGATTAAGAAGTGGGCCGGAGTGAGCACATCTAAGTCATCCGCGTACTGCGGCCTTGAGTTAAGGCACGCTTCTATGCTGACTAACACCGTGGTCATCTCCTCGTAGGTAAGCCTTCGATCCGCGATCACGCGCTTGAGATGGTGCTTGACCGACTTGACGTTGGCCTCCAAAAGCGCACCAAAGTTAGGCGACTGAGGCGGACTAAAATGCCAAGTGAGTCGTAGCTGGGACCACTTCGGAGCGATGAGCGTCTCATAGTCATCGCGGAATTGCTTCACCAAACCTTTGAGCTGACTGTCTGCTCCCACAAAATTGGTGCCGTTATCGCTATAAAGATCTTGGACCATCCCTCGACGCCCAGTAAACCGTTCGAATGCCAGCAGGAAGTGCTCCGTGGTGAGCCCGGTTACCAGCTCCAAATGAACTGCTTTCGTTTCGAGACAGATGAACACTGCAATGTAGCCTTTGTAGGTGCTCGACCCCCGAATCCGCGCCGCTCTGAGCTCAATGGCTCCGGTATAATCGACTCCTGTAGTGACGAAAGGCATCTGCGGCGGGTTTACCCGGTGAAGAGGCAGGTCTCCCATGAGCTGCGACGAGGTGGTTGGGTTGACGCGAAAACAGCGTATCGCTGGCGCGTGTGAGCCAAGGTCAGCTGCGCACCTCCGTGAAGCGAAGCTAGGTGAGAATGGTTAATAACCAGATCGGTAAAATGATGGGTACTGGGCAGAATAATAGAGTGGCGCCTGTTCGGCGGCAACGCAGAGAACCCGTAAAATATCCTCCACCAGAATGGGCGACAGTCGCAACAGATTGCTCTGAGAAGGAATCCGCTTTGAGTGTCTTACGGATTGAAGGTCCGCCGCGAACGATTCCTTCTGAACCATCCGTACGATGCAAAACATGGCGTCGTCGAGCTCTGGTATGCTCGAGGATCCTGCGCGTCGGCTCGGCTTGAGCGAAGCGTTGATAACAAAACGCCTTAGGTAGGCGACCACTCGAACGGCTCGACTATACGTGGAAGAACGGGCGATAAATGAAGGGACTGGAGAGGCGTGGTGGATCCGGAGCTTACCCGCTTTCGCATCCAACGCTGGCTCGGACGGTAAAATCGAGATGGGAAAGTGCTTCGGCCAAGAATCTCGCTCACGCGACAACTAGCCTCCACCACAGGGTAAAGTTCTGCAACTCCTTAGGTGCCAATCCTCTGGTCTCGCAGTCCACTTGGTTTTTCTTCGGTACCCAAGTGCCGCCATTGACTTGGGTCAGAATGGTCCAAGATGAATCCGACTCGGTTGGCCACAAAGGTCTTCCACCATTGTACGTCTCCAGTCAGCCAGTGCAAAACGATAGTGGCGTCCGTCTAAAAGAAAGTCTCCACTGGAACTCCGCCAATTTGAACCACTGTGGATAACCACCTGACAAGCTTGACTGCCAGTACTGCTCCGCTTAGTTTCGTCATGGGTATGGTTAACGGTTTGACTGATGTGACCTTTGCCTTGGCCGCCAGCAAGGTCGTGTCGACGGTCTCGTTGACGTGCTCGACTCGCAGGTAAACAGAGGCAGCATACGTCGACGACGACCCGTTGCAGAACGCATGCAGCTGCACAAAGGCTACGGAGGCCGGATCGTACTCAGTCCACCGACTGACGGCGATGTCCTCGATTCCTGGGAGGTCAGAGCGAAACGCTCGCCAACGCTCCAGAAGCGCTGCTGGCACCAGTGAGTCCCAGTTCAACGACACCTGCACTCCCTCGCTGTTCGCCACCTTGACGAAAGTCACCTCCTTTAAAATGAGCTTTCCAATTATGATGACCGGAGCTATCAGACCTAACGGATCGAAAAGACGCGCGAGTCTGGGAGCCAATACATCCCCAACGCCTTTACCGGATCTCTTTTATCCCAATTTAAAGGCGTCTGGCAGCATCGATGCTCCTGTGGAACAGAGCCTGGCAATCGCGGATCGTTACTCGACCATTTACGCAATTCCGTCCGAGCGATTTTATAGCTCCCACGACCTGCACCCGCTTCTCGTCCGCATCCTCCATAGTGTGTCGTCCACATATATCTCCTTCTTTAAGACCTCGGCAGCCCTTGGGAAAGAATCCTTCTCGTCCTGCGTTAAGTGGTGTATGACTCTAATGGCTGTGTATGGTGCGGATGCCGTTCCGAACGTCAGAGTCGACAGCGCGTGTGTCTTGATGTTTCCATCCTCCGCCCGCCATAAAATCCGCTGATATTGCGTGTCCTCCGGGTGAACGTCAATGCAGCGATACATTTTTTGAATGTCGGCTGCAAAAACAAACATATTTTCGCCAATTGAGAAGCATTGCAGACATGTCGTTTTGGAACGGGGCTCCAGTGAATAGAACATCATTTTCGGAGGCGTCGAACATTATCCTCTGCTTCTGCTTATAGACGGCATGATGGGGTAGCACACAAGACGCATGATGTATTCCGGCCGGGTGCGTACACATAAGCTGCTCTTGGATCCTTCCGCGACAGCGACTTGTCCCAAGGTGAAATACTCCTCAATGTCCTCAGTATACTGTATTCCTTGCACTGGGCGTGCCGCAAAACGCCGTTCGAGCTGGAGAAATCGGTTAAGGGCTTCTTAGTGAGATCGTCCCAACACGATGTTGTGATCCATATACCTCTTAAAAGGGAGGCGCACCACGTAGCGTCCATCCGTTCGACGGGAGTGCGTTCTTCGAAAGAACGATTCGCACCACCGATCCTCATCCGTACGAGCCGTCCGCTCTGGTACGGTCTCGATCTCGAAAAAAACCCTTGAGAAGCGCCTCCGCCTCGGAGACTACATGATGGCAACGGATCTGGGTGGAGCTGGTCGAGTCGGCGGGTTGACCTGAGAGAATCCATCCCAGCTGAGTCTGTTGAGCAATTAGCTCCGTAGGACTTCCTATTCGCGTACCGGACAGCATGATCTGCGCGATAAGGTCCACTCCCAAAACAAGGTCAATCCTCTTTCAAAGGTAGTACTCCGGATCCGCTAGCGGAAGTCCATGAATGTGGGTCCATCGTTGCCATGAGAGGCTTGTGCAGGGCAGCAGCATAGAGACCGTGGCCAACACGTATGCCGAAGAGACGTCTAACGAGAAACAATTATTAGTGCTTAGAACCTTGAAGTTAACCACGTACTTGCTCCTGGACCCAACCCCTTGGCCTACTCCGACAATGGACGTTCTAAAAAAAATTTTAATTGAAATGTATTAGTCTCGTCAATACCTATCGATTGATCTAAAAAAAGTTTGCCACGCCCACAAACTTCAAAAAGTCGTAAGTATGAACGCGGATATCTCGGAAATTATTAAAGATAGAGAATTGGGGCTTCAGATTTACATTTCGTAGCCTTGTACGCAGCGAATGTGTTTCACGCGAATATGCCACGCCCACAAACCGCCCAAACCTGTGGCGCCCACAATTTTCATGCTAGATACAAATTTTAACTGGAATGTATTAGCCTCGTCAATACATCGATTTATCCAAAAAAAGTTTGCCACGCCCACTCAAACGCCTAAAAGCCGCCTAAGCCTGTGGCGCCCACAATTTTTGTGCTGGAAAAAACTCTTAACTGAAATATATTAGTCTTGTCAATACCTATCGATTGATCAAAAAAAAGTTTGCCGCTCCCACTCTTATGCCCACAAGCCGCCCAAACCTGTTGTGCCCACAATTTTCATGCTAAATAGAAAATTTGAGCTGAAATGTATTAGTCTCTTCAATAACTATCGATTGACCAAAAAAAAAGTTGGCCACGCCCACTTTAACTCCCATAACGCTTAAATCTGTCTGCCGCCCACATAACCATATATTAAGATCGGGAGTCGGTGGCGCATTTCAATCTCGCTTTGCTGCTTGCATATCTCGATTTCCCTTTTGTCCCTTTAGATGAGTAACGTATATCTGATAGTAGAGGTACTTGACTGAAACAAACTTGCGCTGCGCAAGAAGCTCAGGAATTTGCATACCAAATCCCAACTTTCTAGCTTTTCTAGTTTCCGAGTTCTCAGCGTTCATCCGGACTTTATGGGGTCGGAAACGCTTCCTTCTGCCTGTTACATACTTTCCGATAATCTAGTGTACCCTTTTACCCTACAAGTAACGGGTATTAAAACGAACAACGGACCGGCCGAAATTTGTCTCTGCGAGCGCAGAGTGCAGGCAGATTATAAGACAAAGAAAGAGAGGGATATCTCTGAATATCTGCCTCTCTTTTTTGCACGACCGTTTTCGTAGTCATTCTTCTACGATGCGCCGACTTCTCTGCTGACGTCAACAGCAGCGGCCAGAATTTTAGGCACAAATAAAAACAAAAATCTTTTTGCCGTCTGACATTTCCCTCCGAGCCTACTGCAGAACTGAAGAGTGGGCACAAGAATGCAAATCAAGTGAGCGAGATGAAAGAGAGGCTTATTGCGATGCCGCTGATATCAGAGCTTTGACTATGAGTCGTTAATTAATTGCTGTGGCTGGCCCGACAAATATATTATTATGCTACAAAATAGACTTCTGAATTTTTAAACGTACAGGGTGGCTGATGAAAGCAGCTACCAAAAAAAATTAAATAACTTTTTTTCTATTTAATGAATCTGGTTAATTTTTTTTTATTTTGTAGATTGACTTTTACATTTAACAAAAATGGATAACTGGGACACTGAAACAAGAATTTAGATTGTCCGCCGCTATCACGCACTGGAGTCCGTAGTATCGGTTCAAAGAGAGTATAGGCGCACGTTTGGCGGCAATCCTCCGAGCAGATGGACCATAATGAGACTTGTAAACAATTTTGCCAAGTCAACAGAAGACCTTAACATCGAAACCCTTCAGTTCGAACGGAGGAAACAATCGCTGCTGTAGCTGCTGCCATACAAAACAATCCACGTGTTTCGACAAGAAGCTTATCTGCTCAAATGGGTGTAAGCAGACAGTCATTACAGTCAATTATGCAGAAAGATTTGGACTTATTCCCATATAAAATTCAAATGGCCAACAAACTGAACACTGCAGACTTGCCGATTCGCTTGCCAGAAGATGCTACAAATGGTGGAAGAGGATGGAAACATGTTGAACTGTCTTTTCATGTCTGACGAGGCCCATTTCGATTTAAACGGCAACATAAACAAACAAAATTGTCGAATATGGAGTGCTTCCAACCCACAGATACTCCATGAGACGGAATTGCATCCACTTCGTGTCACAGTGTGGTGTGCATTTTCATCACGCTGCGTTGTCGGGCCCTACTTCTTCGAAGAAAACGGTCACATCGTTACGGTTACTGAAGACCGTTACTTGAGCATGTTGAGAGAGTTTTTCTATCCAGAACTACGCCGAATAAGAATTTCTTTCAACTCTGTGTGGTTTCACCAAGATGGTGCAGCTCCTCACATAGCCCAACCTGTTATGACAGAATTGCGACGAAAATTTCCCAATAAGTTGATATCCACATTCAACTCCAAATTCCGTTGGCCACCCAGGTCGCCTGACCTTACTGCACCTGACTTTTTCTTGTGGGGTTATTGCAAACAGGGAGTCTACAAAGCAAAACCAACAAATTTGAATGAACTAAGGCAATCCATTCGAGAAACAATTGCGGCTACTCCTGTCTCAACTCTCCAAGCAGTAATGAACAACTTTTTGGTAAGATGCCGCACATGCATCAACGAGCAGTGGGGCATTTAATTTTCATTATTTTAAAACTAATTAAGCTATATTTAATAAAATTGAATGAGATTTAACATGAATAAAAGAAAACTGAATTCCATACACTGAAAAAAAAATTATTTGAGTTTCTTAATGTAGCAAAATTTATCAGCCACCTTGTATATGGAGTTAAAATAACATGAACGGAGAATGCAAAATATTTCCTTGATTGAGGTACGTCGGCTACTTCCGAGTTGCTCTGCGATCGTGATTTCAACCTCTATTGTGGCATACGTTATAGCTAGCAGTCAGCCTGTGCGTTGGCGTTGGGTCTATGATCATATCAATGATCGGGCGCCTTCAAGCTTCTGCATGTATACATTTTGTTGCGGTCAGGTAATGGAAAGGTGCGCATGCTCGGGTAGATATTGTGTCCTGCTTAAGACATATTTATGAGCCATTTGTGGAAATGAAAAAATCTTAGATAATTCACGTTCTGGGTCGGAAACCAAAATGTGTGTTTGAAAGTATTCGCACACTTTTATTGGGGTTTTTTAAATTCTTAATTAGTTTAACAATTACAGGACACATCATTCTCAAATACAATCGAACGTGTTCCTCTAAGATATTAATCTTTGAATATTTTACGACATTTCACACGTATCGTTGAGATTGAATTTCAAAAATGGATTATTAAATTCCATTATCACGAGATCGATGTTGCCAGCACGCCTAAACAAAACAAATAAATGGCATTTGGGGAATTTCATCTAGGGATGTGACTTATGAATCCGTTATCGTTGGCTTTATTCATAAAATATATTGTTTATTCAATCGTTTTATAAGTATCGTATATAAAAAATTGTATTTGTAAGTAAATATACTTAAATATTTTATTTAAAATTTGTTTGTCTGCTGGAATCACCATTTATGCAGTGTAAGCATCAGTTCCGAAGCCATTGGCTATCATTTGCTGGTCAATCCAATCTCGTGCCAAAGCTGTATTGGCATAAGCTGCTGGCACTTCATCATTGCAACCAATTCCCCAAGCAACTATACCACTCTGCTGATATCGGTTTTCTGATGTAATCCCGATTGGACACGCTAATGGAGCTCCACCGTCACCTTGGCATGTATCAATTCCACGCTGCCCACCTGCGCATATAAATGACCTATCCAAGGTAAATTTGGGTCCAAGTCGAGTACTTTTAAGCCGCGATTGACAAGTATTAAATGCCACAATAGGCAAGGGCACACGTTTCATTATGACACTATATTTTCCAAAAGAACCGAAAACATCCTTGCCCCAGCCTGTGGAAAAACATGTGGTAGATGGTTCTGGAATAGCTTCTTGCTGTGGTAAACATATGACATTAATGTGATCATCCAAAACAACGCGCTCACTTAAAACTATAAGAGCAAAATCATTAGCTATGTTTCTGCTCTTGTATTGTGGATGTTTAATGACCGTTTGCACTGTTCTTTCTTGATAGGGTAGACGCTCTTTCGTTGTTTGTGTATCCCACTCTCCTGCACGGACAATAAAAGTTCCTGGTCCATGCGCTTCAACACAGTGTACCGCAGTCAAAACCACTCTTTGATGTATTAGTGATCCAGCACAGAAATAGCTTAGGTTTCCGAAGTGTAATAAAGCTACTGTCCATGGAAACTCGCCAAACCCAGCTTCATTTTGCGTCACCCCAGAAAGAGCAAAATCTAATCCACCTGTGTTGCGAACACCGCAGCCTCGTGGTTGGTTTGGTCTTTGATTTAAAGGTGTGGGATTTAAGGTTACATTACGCGTCTTATTATCCGCACAACACACGTCTACCGATGCAGGACATACCGGATCATCGGCGTTAAATCGAATATCAATCACACCAAATCCATCAAATGACCCGTCCTCAGTCACACTATTCGTTGACGGGTCGCACATATAATAAGGTACACAATTGCAAGATGTACTTTTGCCACTAATTGAGTTAAAGACTTTCTGTGTGCTTACGTCATCTAAAGGCTCAGGTGTAACGACTAATCCAATTCCGCTGATTTGTGACGCAAGACTGTTAGTTTTAGTGTTAAATATTTCTTCAATGTTTTTCTGAGCGTTTAAGTTTTGTTGAGGAGCAGGCGCTGAAGGAGCTACTGCTAGGATCGCCAATAACGCGGTCATAATACTTTTGTAGCCAATCATCTTAGTCTGCAAAGAACAACAATTCATTACTTTTTTTGTGGCATGCGGATTTGGGTTACTTGATACTAGCAGTAAAATAAATGTAATACTTTAAGTAGCTATACAATAAGTAAGTCACTGTGGACGGCAGTCCACCCATTGAAGAACACTTTCTGTGTGCTAAGGCGACTGCTATACATATACATATACAGCTGTGTTCATTGAAATAGCAGTGCATACGACCTGCACGTATAAAATCGAAAAACACTATTATAAACACAACATTGAAACAAAACTTAAATACAACAGTTTTAATTATTTATTTTTAAATAATTTAGGTGTTTTTTCCTGTTGGGTTCTTAAATATTTTAGCAAAAATGGATAATAACAAAAAAGAAAGACTTAAATATGGTGTTCATAGAAATAGCAGTCCTAAAAGAAAAATATGATAAAATTCAATATGGCTCATAAATAACTTAATTCTACTAAACATCGATTTGATTACGACCAAATATTTTGTAGTATGGCCTTTATTGGTTATTACAGGCTAACACCTTCGTGGCATGGAGTCCACCAAGTTTGCGGGAAATCTGACCCCTTTCCTTCTGCACAACTTGCCAAAGCTGCGGCTAAGAAGTCGGGAATTTCTTGGCAACAAAACGCTTATGTCCCTCGATAAGTTCTCAATCGGATTTAGATCCGGGGACTGTGCTGGACTCGACATTACGTCAATTTGTTTTTGACTAAACCATTCCTTGGGCAATTTGTTGGTGTGTTTAGGATCGTTGTCCTGCTGAAATGTCCATATTAACGACATTTCATCATCAGTATACGACAGAATGACGTTTCTCAGTATATTTACATAAACATGTTGGTCCATGATCTCATCGATCAAACGTATGGGGCCCACACCGCTGTATGAGAAATTTCCCATACAATGATTTTAAGGCCACCTGCTTAACGGTCTTGAGATTTTGTTTTGGGTGGTACCCGGTGTATGGTGGCCGACGGACATACTATTTTAAACCTGTTCCACCAAAAAACACCAGCTAAGACTCATCTGTCCAAAGGATTTATCGACCCTTTGAAAGTGGATAGTTCAAGTGGGTTTTGGCAAACTTCAACCTGTCTTTAGGGTGTCTTTTACCAAGTAATGGCTCCTTTGGTGGACTTCTAGCATTCAAATTTTCATCGAACAGACTTCGGAGAATAGTGTCATCCCTGATTCCTAAGCTCAGATCCGCTTTTATAGTCCTACAGGACGCAAAAGGATAAGTTTTGCTGAAGCGCACTTTACGAACGTCCTCTATAATTGTGGTTTTCCGTATCGCATAACGTTTTTCGGGCTTCGGTTCATAGTTTATGGCATTGTAACCCATATTGGCTGTACATTTTAAGGGACACTGAATATATTGAAACGTTTTGCCTTCCTTTCTAAGCTCAATCAATTTTTCCTTTCTCCCTTGAAGCACTGAGGTCCTCTACCCACTAAAGATAATTATACCCGTTACTCGTAGAGTAAAAGGGTATACTAGATTCGTCGGAAAGTATGTAACAGGCAGAAGGAAGCGTTTCCGACCCCACAAAGTATATATATTCTTGATCAGGATCACTAGCCGAGTCGATCTAGCCATCCGTCTGTCCGTATGAACGCAGAGATCTCGGAAACTATGAGAGTTACAATACTGGGATTACGCACGCAGATTCCTGAGATTCCTGCTCAGCGCAAGTTTGTTTCAGTAGAGTGCCACGCCCACTCTAACGCCCACAAACCGCCCAAAACTGTGGCTCCTACAGTTTTGATGCTAGAATAAAGATTTAACTGAAATGTAATGTTCTCATCAATACCTATCGATTGACCTAAAAAAAAGTTTGCCACGCCCTCTTTAACGCCCACAAACCGCGAAAATCTGTGACGCCCACAATTTTTATTGTAGATAAAAAATTTTAACTGAAATGTATTGGTCTCGTCATTACCTATCGATTGAAAAAAAAAAAATTTGACACGCCCACTCTAACGCCCATAACGCTTAAATCTGTATACCGTCGGTAGGTGGCGCATTTTAATCTCGCTTTGCTACTTTCATATCTCTATTTAGCTGAGTAACGGGTATCTGATAGTCGAGGTACTCGACTATAGCGTTCTTCCTTGTTTTTGTCTATAGTTATAGTGTATTATGGTTCGATTTATAATAATGGTCTTCATTGAAACCCATTTTTACCAAATTACAAAAATTTTCGGGACTTTTCCTGGAAGAAAATCAAAAACTGATATTTTAGTGAACAGCCAAAATGTTGTGTCCGTGTGCAAAAATTTGAAAGAAACCCAAAAACAGACCAAATCTAATGGGGTTTTTGCTTGTTTTGTTTCTCTATGATCCATTCTACAAAAGAAATGTACTAGCGATCAACTAATGAAAAGGACTATGCTAATAAACCGTTATATAGTTTCGCTTCTGTCGCACTGCTATTTTAATGAACAGAGCCACAGAACTTAAAATAGTTTTTGTCTTAGGGTCTTCATGGTTTTTTAAAATTTATTCTGTTAATTCTTATCGATATTTCACTAATCGAACAGTAATGTATCATACGAGTACATCGTGAACAGGTAGCGTACTATTTTTAAGCTCCTTTTTACTAATCATGATGCAAGAATTTGTGCACCATGAGTAGTAACCATGTACTCGTACGTTCAGTAGCACTATCGTAAGAATTCCATCAGTGATATATGGTATTTGGGGAAAAGTTTGTAACAGGTAGAGGAAGCGGCTCCGACCCCATAAAGTAAATATATTATTGATCAGCATCACTAACCGAGTCGATCTAGCCCCATGTCCGTCTGTCCGTCCGTCCGGATGAACGCAGAGATCTCGGAAACTTTAAGAGCTAGGCAATTGGGACTTGGCATGCAGATTCCTAAGTTTCTTACGCAGCGCAAGTTTGTTTCAGCAGGGTGCCACGCTCACTCCAACATAGCGCCCAAAACTGTGGCTCCTACAGTTTTCAATACCTATCGATTGACCGCCCACAAACTTCAAAAAATCGTAAGTATGAACGAGTATATCGAGGAAACTATCAAATATAGAGAATTGGGATTTCAGACTTAGATTCCGTAGCCTTGTACGCAGAGAAAGTTTGTCACGCGAATATGCCACTCTAACGCCCACAAGCCGCCCAAACCTGTTTCATCCACAATTTTCATGCTAAATACAAAATTTGAACTGAAATATATTAGTCTCGTCAATACCTATCGATTGATCCAAAAAAAGTTTGCCACGCCCACTCTAACGCCCATAACGCTTTAATCAATCTACCGCATAACCATATATTGAGATCGCGGGTAGGTGGCGAATTTCAATCATGCTTTGCTGTTGCATATCTCCATTTCCCTTTGGTCCCTAAAGCTGAGTAACGGGTATCTGATAGTCGATGTACTCAACTATAGCGTTCTTCCATGTTAATAGTTAATAAACTATTTACTATTGCAATAACAAAAGACACACATCACGCGAACCTTACTATGTTAGTAGTGGCTTAACTATTAAACAAACAAAGCAAAAACAAAAACATTTATTCAATGGTGAAAGTCGCCATTGATTTTACAAAAAAAAGACTAAGCTTTTTTAATACTAAAAAAAAACGGCATTAGGAATAGAAAAATGTTTGCATTGTAGCAATGTTGTTTTTCTAAAAACAAAAAACGTAACAAAAATTTTTTAAAAATACTTTTTAAAAAAGCATAACAAAATTCCGCGCTTTATATCAGCTTCAGATTTAAGAAAATGTTCTTTTCTTAAGAAATTGTTCCTTGGAATTTATAAAAAATCTCCTTTAATCGTAAAATAGGCCTAAGTAGGAAGTAGCCTAGGGGTCTGTCGGCTGTTTATTTTACATATGTTATTGAGGCTTATAGCCCCAAGTGTGGGTTCAGTCCAACGGCGAACTTGAAAGTTCACTGAATCCATAATCCATAAACACCCAGAATAACTCCGATTCCCAATTGGAACTGTTTTTTTTTTCATTATACAGTTGTGGCAACAAAAATAACACCAATGTGTAGGCAATTGCTCTTTGTGCTACAAAATGTTCACTTTTTGCAATGTTTTTATTCTGATTGTAAGGGTAAGTAGGGTTACATATCTATTATCTAAAATAAAAGTGGTTACGCGCATAATGCGGATGGTTTTTAAGATTTCGATACATTTATCAAAAAAGTAGCAAAGTTAAGCGGCAAAAAAATAGCACTATTAACGGTTTTCGTTTTAAAACTTCATATGCTCAGATTTTTTGGCTGTTTTTCGTTTTGTTGCATTAAGAATAAGTACTACTATTTGAATTGGTAAAATAATGAATAAAATAGTGTTCCCAATGGGTCATTAAGCGCACTGTAATGATAAAAATATATGGAAATTCAAAAAGCTAATTTATAAAGGCAATGCAAAAGGTAAGTTCGTCAAATTCTTTAAAATAATGATTAGTAGGTACCTAAAACAAGAACACAAAAGAATAGCACGCAGTGCGAAAGCCGCAATGACCCCATAACTGTTAAAAAGTCAGGTGCATGAATGCAAGTAGGTCCCGTTTAAACCGCCTATCAAGTTGAATATTTTTTTTTTAATATTTGTAGGTACATAAAAAGTTGAATGTAATGTACATAAACAAAAACTATGCGCTTGACGTCAAAAAAAAAATTTTCCCTGCAGAGCATGGGTGAATTTGAAGGACGAGTTTTAAATAATGCCCACAATAAAAGGAAAACTCTTTTATGGTCTGGCGCTTGAAAATTGCTTATGCTTAGATGAAAAAGGCTTAAATTCACATCAGATAACCTACAAATCCAAATTGAATCCCCAATTCACATTTGCAAAGAATAATAATGATGAAGCAAGTATCATGGTATGGGCATATTCTCTTACTATAGTGATGGTACCATATCATAATGTGAACCCATAGAGGATCAACATGTTAACTTTGATAGCTCAGAAATTATGATGCAATTTTATTCGTAATACAAAATTAATTTATTGTGGAAGCTTTACCACAATTATAAACCAAGAAAAATCTGATAGAGAGTCGTCTAAAGTTTCAAACCCTTAAGCTAAATCGTATAATGGGGACCTTTCAAGAAAAAAAACTGCCCTTGAGCTATTTTGAAATAGCCACACAACAATTTCGTTAAGAAAGATCCTGGTGTCTAGTGATGTATAAGTACATACATTTCAATCAAAAAAATTTTTCAAATCGCTTTATTTTTAAGTTTTTAAAGACTTTTCTTTAAGTGGTGCTATTTTTGTTGCCGCATAACTTTGATACTTTTTTGATAATGTAACGAAATTTTAAAAACTATCCGCATTGTGGGAGTAACCACTTTTATTTTAGTTAATAGATATGTAACCCTACTTACCCTTACAAGCAGAATAAAAATATTGCAAACAAGAAAGGAAGTTAACTTCGGCAAGCCGAAGCTTGTATACCCTTGCAGTTATATTCATTAAATTTAAAAATACAAAAAATGATATTCCCAATTGTATATGTCAGAAAACACCAAAGCTATAATTTGTTTCATATTATTTTCCCACCAATTTTCCGATCGTTTCTATGGCAGCTATATGACAAAGTCGTCTGATTTTGATAAAATTAAATTCAAAATTCAGAACTAATTTAAAAATGTTATTTCCAAGCGTAGGAGGTTATTTGTTAAAAAACACGAAAGCAATAATTTGTTTCATATTATTTTCCAAGCAATTTTCCGATCGTTCCTATGGCAGCTATATTATATAGTCGTCCGATTTTGACAAAATTAAACTCAAAATTCAGAACTAATTAAAAAATGTTATTTCCAAGCGTAAAAGGTTGTATGTTAAAAAACACCGAAGCTATAATTTGTTTCATATTATTTTCCCACCAATTTTCCGATCGTTCCTATGGCAGATATATGATATAGTCGTCCGATTTTGATAAAATTTAATTCGAAATTCAAAACTAATTAATAAATGTTATTTCCAAGCTATGGAGGTTATAAGTAAAACAAGGAAGAACGCTATAGTCGAGTACCTCGACTATCAGATACCCGTTACTCAGCTATATGGAGATATGCAAGCAGCAAAGCGAGATTAAAATGCGCCACCTACCGGCGGTATACAGATTTAAGCGTTATGGGCGTTAGAGTGGGCGAGGCAAATTTTTTTGGATCAATCGATAGGTATCGACGAGACCATACATTATTTTTTTTTTTTGGGGTCAAGTCCGGAGTTAAACGGGTATCATGATGATGAGAACAATACATTTCAGCTAAAATTTTTATTCTAGCATCAAAACTGTAGGAGCCACAGTTTTGGGCGGTTTGTGGGCGTTAGAGTGGGCGTGGCACTGTGCCGAAACAAACTTGCGCTGCGTAAGAAGCTCAGGAATCTGCACGCCAAATCTCAATAGCCTAGCTCCCATAGTTTCCGAGATCTCAGCGTTCATCCGGACGGACAGACAGACGGACAGACGGACAGACGGACATGGCTAGATCGACTCGGCTAGTGATCCTGATCAAGAATATATATACTTTGTGGGGTCGGAAACGCTTCCTTCTGCCTGTTACATACTTTCCGACGAATCTAGTATACCCTTTTACTCTACGAGTAACGGGTATAAAAACACAAAAGATATAATTTAAAAAAATTTTTTTTTTCGATTGTTTCTATGGGAGGTATAAGATATAGTTGTCCGATCCGGCTGGTTCCGACTTATATAGTACCTGCAAGAGATATACGACTTTTGGAAAGTCTCAGCCCGATAGCTTTAAAACTGAGAGACTAGTTTGCGTAGAAACGGACGGACAGACGGACAGAAGGACATGGCTAGATCGACTCGTCTAGGCATGCTGATCAAGAATATATATACTTTATATGGTCGGAAACGTCTCCTTCACTGCGTTGCAAACTGAAATCAATATACCCTCGTATAAAAATGACAATTCTGTAGCACAAAGAAGAATTGCCTACACATTGGTGCTATTTTTGTTGCCGCAGCTGTATATACATTTCTCCAAAAATTTTCAACTAAAACAAGCGTGTCAATTTGTTCCCCTTTAACTTTAAAAATTCCTTCTGATTTCACGAACTTAAACTTGTACATTGCATTGGCAAGCTTCTGTACCCTGACTAAGGGCTATCATAAAAATGTTAATAGCTTTCAAGCTTCACAAAATGTCAAAACAGCATCATTTCGTTCATATTTTAACCGATTGTTCCTTTGGGAGCTATGCTTAAAATATATAAGTCCGTATGGTGAGTTAGCAGAATTATAATACCCTCAGGCAGAGCACAAAAATGTGTTTTGAGGATGTGGTTCTACCGGAACAAGACAAAAACGAGTGCACCCGTTGAATAGCTGCACATATGTACATACATATATATAAGTATTAACTGACCAAATACTGACCAATACTGTCTACATATGTACATGTCTTTTGGCTATTATTGACTCGTTATTATAAAATATTGATTATTTGTATAGTGGTAAATATTAATAAGCTGCAAAATGTAACAATATTGAACTTTAAGAATTACTATGTATATAAATGCGGCTGGTTTCCTTTAGTTGCTCTGAACACGAATAAAGCTTGCTGACTACTGCCGACGAGGGCTTAAGCCGAATAAGACACGTACATTTTCTGAAAGTTTACATATGTATGTATATACAGATGTACACACGAGCTCAAAGCTTGCAGCCATAGTCACAAGGTTGAATTGGTAATTAATAAAGAAAACTTTAGTGATAAGAACTGAAACCCATGCTTATAGTATAAGTCGACACATGTACTTATTTAACAAGTTTCTTAAAAACAGATGACCCGAAAACAAGAAATGAAGACAATTTCGGCATTTTCATACAGCAACTGAAACTATATTTTCGTTATTATTTTGTATCATTCCTTTGCAGCTTTGTTTATTTTTTAAACATTTATTATTATACCCGCTACTCGTAGAGTAAAAGGGTGTACTAGATTTGTCGGAAAATGTGTTACTGCTAGAACAAGGCGTTTCTGACCCTTTAAAGAATATATATTCTTGATCAGGATCACTAGTGTAGTCGATCTAGACTGTCCGTCTTTATGGCAGTCTGTATGAACGACGAGATCTCGGACCCCATAAAAGCTAAATAGTTGTTGTACGGCATGTACAGATTGATTTAGCAGTGTTCTACGCCCACTCTAACTCTCCAATAATGCTAAAATTCGTTTATCACGCACAGTTCTCATTATTTTTGAAAATTTTATATAAAATTTTTATACCCGTTACTCGTAGAGTAAAAGGGTATACTAGATTCGTCGGAAAGTATGTAACAGGCAGAAGGAAGCGTTTCCGACCCCATAAACTATATATATTCTTGATCAGGATCACTAGCCGAGTCGATCTAGCCATGTCCGTCTGTCCGTCTGTCTGTCCGGATGAACGCTGAGTTCTCGGAAACTATGGGAGCTAGGCTATTGATATTTGGCGTGAGGATTCCTGAGCTTCTTACGCAGCGCAAGTTTGTTTCAGTAGAGTGCCACGCCCACTCTAACACAAACCGCCCAAAACTGTGGCTCCTACAGTTTTGATGCTAGAATAAAAATTTTAACTGAAATGTAATGTTCTCATCAATACCTATCGATTGACCCAAAAAAAGTTTGCCACGCCCACCCTAACGCTAATAAACCGCCCACAAACTTCAAAAAATCGTAAATATGAACGTGGATATCTCGGAAACTATCAAAGATAGAGAATTGGGATTTCAGATTTAGATTCCGTAGCCTTATACGCAGCGCAAGTTTGTCACGCGAATATGCCACGCCCACTCTAACGCCCACAAACCGCGAAAACCTGTGACGCCCACAATTTTTTTGCTAGATAAAAAATTTTAACTGAAATGTATTGGTCTCGTCAATACCTATCGACTGGTCCAAAAATTGCCACGCCCACTCTAACGCCCATAACGCTTAAATCTGTATACCGCCGGTAGGTGGCGCATTTTAATCTCGCTTTGCTACTTGCATATCTCTATTTAGCTGAGTAACGGGTATCTGATAGTCGAGGTACTCGACTATAGCGTTCTTCCTTGTTTTTGATTATCAACGTCCAATCTTTCTGTTTGCATTTTCCGTCTCCCTTGCACTCCCCTTAGCTGAGTAACGGGTATATGATAGTCGATGGCATCGACTATAGCATTCTCTCTGGTTTTTTTATCGTTCCTCTGACAGCAGTTTTATATTGTCCTTCCCTTTTTCAAAAGACTTAAATCGTAATTTGAAACTTATAAAGGAATATGCATCCAAATTAAGAATAAACAAGGAAGAACGCTATAGTCGAGTACCTCGACTATCAGATACCCGTTACTCAGCTAAATGGAGATATGCAAGCAGCAAAGCGAGATTAAAATGCGCCACCTACCGGCGGTATACAGATTTAAGCGTTATGGGCGTTAGAGTAGGCGTGGCAAAGTTTTTTTTGGATCAATCGATAGGTATTTACGAGACCAATACATTTCAGTTAAAATTTTTTATCTAGCATGAAAATTGTGGGCGTCACAAGTTTTTGCGGTTTGTGGGCGTTAAAGTGGGCGTGGCAAACTTTTTTTTGGGTCAATCGATAGGTATTGATGAGAACATTACATTTCAGCTAAAATTTTTATTCTAGCATCAAAACTGTAGGGCGGTTTGTGGGCGTTAGAGTGGGCGTGGCACTCTACTGAAACAAACTTGTGCTGCGTAAGAAGCTTAGGAATCTGCACGCCAAATCTCAATAGCCTAGCTCTCATAGTTTCCGAGATCTCAGCGTTCATCCGGACGGACAGACGGACAGACGGACATGGCTAGATCGACTCGGCTAGTGATCCTGATCAAGAATATATATACTTTATGGGGTCGGAAACGCTTCCTTCTGCCTGTTACATACTTTCCGACGAATCTAGTATACCCTTTTACTCTACGAGTAACGGGTATAAAAAGGATGAAGAACAACGATATTATAATTTTGTTTTTTAAGTTACTCGATCATTTCTACAAGAGCTTTCAAATTAAGTGGAGCATTCTGTCCTATTCAGACATAAATACTACCTACAATTAAGTAGAGACTTGGGAAAGTTTCACTCAGATAACTTTAAATCTAATAAAATAGTTTAAGTAGAAATGGCAGTGGAACATGGCTATATAGAGCAAGTGTATATATTTATAATATATATAATATAATATAATAATACAAAAATAATAAAAATATATAATATATAGCATAGGCTACATTTAATTTTTGCTTGTCAAACCGGTTATTAATGTATTTGCAGTAATAATGTATAATCTGCTTTTATCAAGGGAACACATGTCATTTTTTGGCTATTAAATGAAACTGCTTGACCAATGCGCTGTAAAAAAATTAAAAAGGTAAAGGTAAGGTAAACATTATACTCCACAGATTAAAGTTCGGTTGTCCGAAGTATTTTGATTTGAATTTGGTATTCACTTACAGGCCTGTTGAACATGACAAACTTTTAGCAATATTAGTACTTAAAAATCAAAACTGGGTTACAAGGACTCAGCATAAACAATTAAATAAACAGGCGAATAAATTAATTACTGTGGGCGGTGGTCCACTTAGTGACGAATCGCACTCGGAGAGTTTGCCAAGGCAACTACTATATATAGCAGCAGAGCTGAAAATTTGAAGTGGTGATCCGATCATAACGGATGATACACCAATCAAAAAGTATCTCCAAAACTAAAAAGATAGCATCTCAAGAATTAAAAAATTGCAATTGGCTTGGCAGAAATTGCGTTAAAAAAGTGAAAATATAGAAAACACATTTTTTATTCCTGATGATTAAACGCGTAAAATGTCACTTCATTTGTTAAAATTTAATGGTTCGTTCAAAGGTTATGTCAAAAACAAGATTTTGGGGGTATTTGAATGCAATAGAATATGGCTTTTGTATGCGAGAAGCTTGAATATTTTGCTAAAGCGGGCAGAATGAAAGCATTTTGGAAAGTTCATTTATTCAGTCGAATGTACAAGCATTTTTCGTCACAAAAGTTGATATTAGAACTTTTGTATGTTGAAGGTGCGATCGTCAGGACCCCTTACCACGTAAAGAGGTGTTTTTGTTTGATTACCATATTTAAAAAAAAATGGATCTATACCCAAAATTAATGTTTATAAGCTTGTTTTATTCTTTTTGTTGATATTTGTGTATTAAACCTATGAAATGATTCATTGACAATAAAATACACTTTACAATGCCTAGGCAGCGTTAATTGTTCTGAACTAATAAAAGCTTCCATTTTTATACCCGTTACTCACAGAACAAAATGGTTTATGGGTAAAAACGGCCATTTTTACACCCGTTACTGATAGTGCAAAAGGGTGTATTGTACCTGGTTACAAGTATGTATCAGGTAGAAGAATGTGTTATCGACCTCATTGGGTATATATATATATTCTTGATCAAGATCACTCGCCGAGTCTTTTTAGCTATTTCCGTCTGCCCGTGTGAGCGTTGTGATCTCGGAAACTACATATATGATCTTGAGGGTTGAGATTTCAGATTTAGATTCCTTAGCTTCGTACGCATCGTAAGTGTGTTAAGTGAAGCCAAAGTGGAGCCAAAACTTTGGCTCCTACAATTTTAATGCTAAAAAAATTAACTGGAATTTATTACTCTCGTCAATACTTATCAATTTATGATAGAAATAGTCAAGGCACTTGATCATGGCGTTCTCTTTTGTTCTTGCTCTTTAAGCAGCTCGATACAAGCCACGTTTGTATATGGACATACGGACGTGGGTAGATACAATGTGGGAAAAAATTCCTTCCTTTTTCTCTACGAGTACCGGGTACAATTACAATCGATTGTTGAGAAAAAACTGGCGGATTGGACATCGATATCGTGCGCTTTTATTTCGATCTAAATGAATGATAATTTCTAAAAAAATACGTAATCCAAAAAAGTTGTATTCGTGCATCAATGGCAAGACAATTCGAGTTTAATGTTTGATGTGACATTTTTTTGGTGGTGTACGCAGAGGTATAGCCGTCATCTTTGGTATTTTATTTAATATCATACAAAGCCGTTAGCATTGCCCTTATAAGAGCAAACTATGCATGGTTATTGTCTTATGGTTGTCTTCAAACCAAGGTAAAGTCCTGCACTAAAGTGAAACACAGATGTTTAGATTATATTGTTTACTTTATACTTTGTTAAAACTGAGAGATCTCTTTTCTTTTTCCAGCGATGCCAGATGGCATAAACATGATCGCCACAGTACTATTTCCTAGACTTTCTGTTGTGAAACGAACAGGGAGTATAATTGTACGACGAGGTCTAATGATTGGTTAACAGCGGGGCTCGTTCGTCTTCGGACCTGTTGTTGGAGTCAGTGGATGAGTTTGGAAGTGAAATTGTTGGCTGTTTAGTTTCGATTAAGACGGGCTTGAGTCGGTCTATTAGGATTGCTTTTCTTTTACTTTAAAGGGTCCATCGTAAAGCGGTTGAAGAGATCCATGGACGGTGTAGTTTCGTAGAAAGACGTGAGTTGCCTTATTCAGAGGCAACAAATGGTCGAATTTCTCGCTTATTTTTTCTCCAGCTCCTTTACAAAGACAGTTTGCGGTTGGAAATTGGACCTTTGATGAAATAAATCTCCTGGAAGGCAAAGGGTTGTGCCGC